CTTTCTCTCCAGCGCCAATAACTTGTTCAGTTCCAACCTACTGTGAAAAATGTACATTTTGCACTTTTTGGCATACACTTGTATTTTTGTAGACCGCGGGGACTAACAAGCCTCATGGCTCGACCAGACCGGTACAGACTACAGATCCGACAGCGGCGTGGGCATTTCCCCCTCCCACGCCTCCCACTGAGACCGGCTCTAACGCCCACGGTGAGGGAACTTTGTTAATCTGACGCGGGACAAGAGGGTGACCCACCCCCTCCCACCTCCGCGCGCACACACACACACACACACACACAATTTATTTCCCCCCTTCTCATAAAACCGTGGGCTCCGCAGAGCAGTAGCCCGCTACAACAGCCCGGTGGATAGGCAACCCGGCGGCCCCGTCTGCGAGAGCGCTGCCTACCCTCGCCTCCACAGGCGCCTCGAGGTCCTGGCCGGCCACGCCCGAGGGGTCCCTTACAATAAATACAAGCATACACGGATTTTCCCGTTTTTAGACAGTCCTCAAGACTGTCTCTACCATTTTCTTAATTTTCCTTATTTTTTCTGATTGTTTTCATTGTTTCTTTTTTTCCCTAATTTTTCCATGGTTTTCTGTGATTTTTTCGTATTTTTTTGAGGGTGTACCCTGTTTTTATTGAGTGAAGCATCCCCTCGGCCTCACCGTGACTCGCCCTCTCTCTCTGCCGCAGACGATGGAGAGCGCCGTGTACGACAAGGTGGCCGAGTACCTGATGATGATCGGGCGGACCGAGCTGCTGACGTGCTCGGCCACGCAGCACTCGTTCGGCCGCATCCGGGACCAGGCGCACCAGCTGACGCGCGAGTACAACCTGCAGTGCGTCTACCTCTTCTACCCGGTGCTCAAGCAGCACATCCAGTACGAGTTCGACGCGTGCGACGACGACAACGTCACGACGGTGACGGCGGACCACAGCGCGGCGGCCGCGACGCTGTCCAAGGAGGCGCGCCGGTGGAGCAACCGCATCGCGCGCGAGAACAACTCGATCCGCGAGTGCAACCGCAAGCTGGTGGCGCTGCAGCAGCTGAAGGATCAGGGCCAGAAGGTACGCACGCCATCTTGTGACGTGGACATCACCTCCGCGTTTTTTTTTTAAGTGTCCTCCGTTTTGCTTTGTCGTTTTCTTGCGAGGTGTGACATCTCTTACTCTCTTTCTGCGACAGACGGACCCCAACGACCAGAACGGTCCGGACATCGACACCAAGATGGAGGAGCTGCGACAGACGATCCGGAGAGCGGAGGTGAGTGTCGCGTCGTATGGCCGCGCGGGGGTCGAGCAGCCCAGCCAGCCCATCTTTCCGCCCCTGCTTCGCGGGCGTGGCGGGCGGTCCCTCTCCATCTCGAGCGCGCCGGGTGGTCAGCGGACGAGAAAATGGCGACTGAAGGGCTTAAGGACGACCCCACCCCTTCCCCACCCCCGCGGCGAGTAATCAGCGGGATGGAGGGGCAGAGGACATAATCGACTTCGCAGCACAGCAGCCCCTGCCCTTTAAACCTGCCCTGCACCAGGCCGTAATTACACCCCCTCTCCCGTCTCTCTCTCTCTCTCTCTCTCTCTCTCTCTCTCTCTCTCTCTCTCTCTCTCTCTCACTCTCTCTTGAACTATACCAGCTCTCCTGCTCTCTTTCTTGCCCCCCCCCCTTCCCCTTTTGCTCTCCTCTCGCTGAGAAATGGTCGGCTTGCCGTCCCCTTCACTGCCGCCGCCGCCCGGGCCGGCTGGGCCAGGGCCGGGACACGTGGGAGTGACCTGACTCGAGCCCGCTGCCGTCCGCCAGCTGCGCTCCAGCTCCCCGGCCCCTCCACGGTCTTGCCTCCAGGCAGGCTCCAGGGGGCGAGCTGGAGCCGTTAGGCCCCCGGGCCCCTCCGCTCCCACGCTCCATGTGCAGGGGGGGGGGGTATCGGCAATAGCTGCTCCGCAGAGCACACGAACACACTCGGGCTCTATTACTTTAGTTTTATTATTTCGAGCAGTTCGTCCTCCTCCCGTGCCCACTCTG